GGCGTTCTGTGACTCTCGCACTCCGGGCCCCGGTGTGGGTGACGGTGCGGACTTCAGGTGCAGCCACTTCCGGTAGCTGACGTCACTTCCTTCAGCTGTTAAGCTTGTTGGCTGCACTTTTAAAAAAAATACATAACTTCACTTTTATTTTCATTTTTTATTGTGATCATAAGCGTGATGTACAGGCTGGGAAGGTGGCTCAGTAGTAGGCGCTTGCCTACCCTGCACGGAAGCCCTGGGTTCGAGTCCTCAGTACCACAGACACAGCAAAAGCCAGAAGTGGTGCTGTGGCTCAAGTGGTAGAGCGCTAGCCTTGAGCAAAAGCAGTTCAGGGACAGCGCCCAGGCCCGGAGTTCAAGCCCCAGGACTGGCAATAAATAAATATAAACAACAGTGATGTACAGAAGGGTGACCATTTCATAAATCTGGTAGTGAGTACATTTCTTTTTGGACAATGTCATCTCGTCCTTCACTTTCCCGCTCCCATCCATGCCCACACGTTACACAGTTCATTGTCTACATTTGTCTACATCGTGAAGAGCATGAGTGCATCTCTTCACCCTCCTTCCCTTTACTGCACTCCCCCAAACCCAATAGAACAGAAAACACCACCAACGACAACAGAAAACCATGTTTCCATTCTCTGGGATTCGTTTTGATAGTATTTTAAGTGTCCAGGAGACATTGGGTTTCTTTTCCTCTCATTTCTTTTCCATCTAGGAACTGGAAAAGTTCCTTTTTGGAGTTATTTTACTTTATTGTTGGCTGGAACTTTCCACTGACCAGATACCCTTCATTTTTGTAGGTAGAGGAAAAAAGTCTCTTTAAAAATGGAGAAGTGGTGAGAAATTGTCACATGGGGGCACAATGTGGTCATGTTTGAATTTTCCAAAAGCATTTCCCTGGAAAAACACAAGATTTTTTATTTGCTTCCTGTCTCTGTATAGTTTATTCTTTTTCTTTTTAATGTCAGTACTGGGGCTTGAACTCAGGGCTGTCTCTTGAGTGTTTGTACTCAAGGCTAGTGTTCTTTTTTTTTTTTTTTTTGGCCAGTTGTGGGGGCTGAACTCTGGGCCTGGGCGCTGTCCTTCAGCTCTTCAGCTCAAGTCTAGTGGTCTACCACTTGAGCCACAGCACCACTTCTGGCTTTTTTCTGCTTATGTGGTGCTGAGAAATTGAACCCAGGGCCTCATGCATGCAAGGCAAGCGCTCTACCACTGAGCCACCTTCCCATCCCCAAGGCTAGTGTTCTTGAGCCACAACTCCACTTCTGGATTTCTTTGGTGCTTTATTGGAGATAAGAGTCTCACAGACTTCCCTGCTTAGGCTGCCTTTGAACTGTGAACTGTGATCCTTAGATCTGAGACTCCTCAGTAGCTAGGATTACATGCTTGGGCCACTAGCACTTGGCTGAACATTTTCTTTGTGTCTGGGTTTCCGAGATCCAAGAGAGAAGAGAAGTAGAAAACTGAGTCAGGACCCAGCTCCACCTGAGCTACTCTTGTATCTGTTGGCAAGTTAATAAACCTTTCAGGTTTTAATCCTTTTTGCTGGGATTTTCCTCATATCCTTTCTGTGTGTATGTGTAGTACTGATGTTTAAATGCTCGGCCCTTGAAGCCACATCCCCAGCCTTTTTATGGAACTTGTAAAGCAGGTTGCATTTGTTTTATTTTAATTTCTTGGTACCAGTCCTGGAGCTTGCACTGAAAGCCTGGCCTCTGTCACTGAGTTTCTTTGCTCAAGGCAGGCTCTCTCCCACTTGAACCACAGCTCCACTTCTGGCTTTTTGAGTAGTTTATTGGAGATAACATCTCGGGTCAGGTGCTGGTGGCTCATGCCTTACTTCTAGCTCCTCAGATCCTCAGATCCTCAAATCTCAGCCTCCTGAGTAGGTAAGATTACAGGCATGAGCCACCAAATTCAGCCAGATTACATTTTATTACATAGATTGAAGTATACATAAAAAAAGCCAAGCACTGGTGGCTCATACCTGTATACCTGTAATCCCATTAACGACCAGAAATCTCTAATTAACCATCAGAAAATTGGAAATAGAGATGTGGCTCAAAATGGTTGAGCACTAGTTTGAGCAAAAATGCTCAGGACCTTGAGTTCAAGCCCCACGAGACAAAACAAACAAACAAAAAACCAGTCAGGCATCAGTGGCTTCTGTCTTCAATCCGGGAGTCAGGAGGCTGAGCTCACCCATGTCCTCCGGTCCTTACGGTCCTCACCATGGGCTGTGGCTCTTGAGACATGCCCACTGAGTTCATTTTCATGGTTGTCCTGCAGCCAGAAGACATTCAACAGCAGATTGTCCGGGAGACTTTCCATCTGGTCCTCAAGCGTGACGACAACATCTGTAACTTCTTGGAAGGCGGAAGGTAACCGTCCGCCCCTGTTCTCTCCCGAGCGACCGTTGGCATGACTGCCCTGGACCGCGGCTATCAGAGGGGTCTCTGCCGCAGCTTGCCCTGGTCTGGCATGGCTGTGTTGGAAGGCATTGTGCGATGGTGCTTCCTCTGTTACTCAGATGTGCGGTGTCTGGGGGGACAGGAGGGAGGACGGTGAGGTGAGGGCTTGCCCTGCAGGTAGTGGAAAGGGTCCTGCTCCAGTGTTTAGCCTTCCTCCTCCTGTGGGCCGTTTTCTCATCCATTGGTGCAGGTGTGTCAGCCTTTTTCATCCTGTGTGTGTTTGGGGGGGGTGTAGGGGGGCTGAACTCGGGGCCTGGGCGCTGTCCCTGAGCTCTTCAGCTCAAGGCGAGCGCTCTACCTCTTGAGCCACAGTGCCGCTTCCATGCCTTTTCCATCTCCTACAGCTTGATTGGCGGCTCTGACTACAAGCTGATTTACCGGCACTACGCCACCCTCTACTTCGTGTTCTGTGTGGACTCGTCAGAGAGTGAACTTGGGATCTTGGACCTCATCCAGGTACATCCAGGGGCAGTCAGCTGTGGTGACACTGCGTTTCTGAGTCAGCAGCTTATGGGATCTTCTGGTTCTGTTGGTGTGTGTGTGTGTGTGTGTGTGTGTATGAGTCAGCAGCTTATGGGGTCTTCTGGTTCTGTTGGTGTGTGTGTGTGT